GCCTTGTTCCCCATTTTAGGAGAAATGTATTCAACTAAGTGTGATGTTGGCTGTAGGTTCTTTGTAGATGTCTTCCATCAATTGAGGAAGTTCTCTCTGATCCTAGTTTTCTAAGGGTTTCATCAAGAGCAGATAATGAATTGTTTCCAGTGTTTTCTCTGCATTTATTAATATGATCATATTATATTAATTTGATGATTTACATTAATTGATTTTAGAATATTAAACCAACCATGCATTCCTGGCAGAAACCTAATTTCATCATAAAGTATCATCCTCTTTACACATTGCAGGATTAAATTTGCTAATATTTAGCTAGGGATATTTGCATTAATATTCATGAAAGATATTGTTTCTTCTTTTAATGTCTTTTACTGGTTTTGTTATCAGGGTTATACTGACCTCATAAAGTGTTTTGGGAAGTGTTTTCTCCTCTCTATATCATAAAAACATAAATTAAAAAAACCAAACAGTAAAGCAATCTGGATCTAGTGTTCATTTGTTTTCAATTTATTAATTTAAGTTGAAGTTATTAATATGCTTTTCATTACAAATTAAGTCTAATGGGTACATATAGGGCTGCTCAAATTTTCTATTTCTTCTTGTATGCATTTTGGTGACTTTTTTTCTTTCAAGGAATTTTTACATTTTGTATAAGTTGTCAAATGTTTTGGACAAATTTTTTCATAATATCCTCTTGATGTCATTTTAATGTTATATGATCTATAATGTTGTTCTTTTATTCTCAATATTGGTAATTTTTGTTTGGGTTTTTTTTTCCCCAGTCGAGTTATGGGCTTATCAGTTTTATTAATCTTTCAAGGAACTAACTTTCTATTTAATTGATTTTTCTCAATTATCAGCTTTTTATTTTGTTTCTGCCTTTATCTTTAGTAATTCATTCCTCCTGATTATTTCGAGTTTAATTTGCTTTTGTTTTTTAGCTTAGCTTCCTAAGTTGGTACTTTGATCATTATTTTATTTATTTTTTTTTTTAATTTTTTTTCCAACGTTTTTTATTTATTTTTGGGACAGAGAGAGACAGAGCATGAACGGGGGAGGGGCAGAGAGAGAGGGAGACACAGAATCGGAAACAGGCTCCAGGCTCCGAGCCATCAGCCCAGAGCCTGACGCGGGGCTCGAACTCACAGACCGTGAGATCGTGACCTGGCTGAAGTCGGACGCTTAACCAACTGCGCCACCCAGGCGCCCCTGATCATTATTTTTAATAGTTTACCCTTTTCAAATAAAAGTATGAACTACAAATTTCCTTTAAGCATTGCTACAATGCAGACTTTTGTATGCTGAATTTTTATTATCATTCAGTTAAAAATATTTTTCTGATTCTTCTTCACATTTTTTTCTACCCCAATTTATCTCTTTTCTCCTCCTAATGTTGTCCGATATTATAAGCCTTTTTTTTTTTTTTTTCTTTTCTGGGCTTTAGTTTGTATAGATTCTACTGCCTGTCTTCAAATTCACTATTTCAGTAGTGTCTAATCTATTAATAATAATATTAAATCAATAAATGATTTTGGATATTATATTTTTCAGTTCTATAATTCCTATCAACTCCTTTTTTTATAAATTTTCTTTCTCTATTGAAATTCCCTATTTATTCCTTTAATGTGTGTATGTTGTCTTTTAAATCCTTGGACATATTTATAAAGTATTTTTCTATGACTTCCATCATCCCAATAATTTCTGGGTCTGTTTCTATTGCTTGATTTTCTTTCTGGTTAAGGATGCCATTTTCTTTTGCATATCTTCAGTACATTAGATATTAGACATTGTGAATGTTACACTGTTGAATGCAAGAATTTGCCTTGTTTTTAAGGGTGCTCGACTGGGGAGGGCAGGTATTTAGTTACTTATGAATCTGCTTCATATTTTTAAAGCTTATCTTTAAACTGTGTTAGAATGGGTCTGGTGTAGCTAGGGCCACTTGAGCTCCTTTGCAGGATCTCTACCAAATGCCCTGTGGGTTCAGTGAGGTCTCTCTGTTCTGGCTGGTTTGGATATCAAATGCCTCCCAATCTTTGTGAGCGCCACTAATTGTTCAGTTCATTAGTTGGTCCACTCGTATTGCTTTCTTCCCGGGTCATCTTTTTTTGCCTGGCTTGTGGAGTCTTGCTCTATGAACAGCTCAGTATTTGGTCAAAGACCCAGAGAAGCTCCTGTTTAGACTTCTTTTTCTGTTTAGCTCCCTCTTCTTTGTATACTGCTCTGTAAATTCTAGCTCACCTCAAAAGCCCTGAGTTCCAATGTCTATCTCCTGTATTCAGCAAGACTACTGTGCTGTTTGACCTTGCTCTCTATACCACAGTCTGCAAAGTGCCTCCAGGTAAATAGCCAAGTTGATCATGGGGTGATCATCTCATTTCGTTCTCTTCTCTCAGGGACTGTGGTCATATGTTATTTTAAAAAAATTTTTTTTAAACGTTTTTATTTATTTTTGAGACACAGAGAGACAGAGCATGAACGGGGGAGGGTCAGAGAGAGGGAGACACAGAATCTGAAACAGGCTCCAGGCTCTGAGCTGTCAGCACAGAGCCCGACGCGGGGCTCGAACTCACGGACCGTGAGATCATGACCTGAGCCGAAGTCGGACACTCAACCGACCGAGCCACCCAGGCGCCCCCATATGTTATTTTTATTCAACATCTGAAAACAGTTATTAATATATTTAACCTAGTTTTATAGTTGTTTGCAATAAAAAGAGCTAATTACTTCATCATGGCCCAAGAGTTTTTACTTTTTAATCATAAATATGTTTTAAATGTTATTGAATGGAGTTTTTTCACCTATCAAGGTTGTCTTGTGACTTTTCTTCAATTTGTTATGGTGGTGAGTTACTTTAATAACTTTTCTAATGATAAAATGTCCTCATATGCCTAGGATAAACTCAACTTGATAATGATGTTTTATTTTTTTAATACTTGCTTGATTTGTTTTGCCAATGTTTTGTTTAGGATGTTTATTCAAGAATGAGATCAGCCTCTATACTTTCATCCTCATACTGTCTTGGATTTTGGTAATCAAGATTATGCTATTCTTTAAAAGACTCCCGGGGGGGAGGGGGTGTTCATTTCCTTTTAGTGTTGTAATAATTTATTAGAAACTCAGTGACTTAACACAACACAAATTTTTTATCCTACAGTTCTGGAGACCACAAGTCTAAAATGAGTTTCACTGGGCCAACAGTAAGCTGTCAGTATGTCCATGCTCACTCCACAGGCTCGAGGAAAGAATCCGTTTTATTACCTTTTCTATCTTCTAGAGGCTACCTGCATTCCTTGACTCATGGTCTCCTTCCAGCCAGCAATCACATCACTCTGACCTCTGTTGTCAGTCACTTCTTCTTTCACTCTGGTTTTTCTACTTTTATTCACTTATAAGTACTTTAAATTATATTGGATTTACATTGGAACTACATAATCCAGGATAATCTCTCATAATCCTCAATTTAATCACACCTGCAAAGTTCCTTTGCCATGTGAGACAAATATTCGTAGGTTCCAGTAGTTAGGACATGGATATCTTTGGTGGCGGGCATTCTGTCTACCACAAAAACAGAACATTCCCCAGTTTTCTTTTCTTTGAAAAATCTTATGGAAAATTTGGATGATCTATTCCTTGAATATTTGATAACATTTATCTGTCAAATTATATGGGACATGTTTATGGATAACTTTTTAAAAGAAACATAGCCAAAATGTATGTGTGTGTGTATGTATGTTTCAAAATAACCATAAGAAAATTATTACTAAGAATACAATTATTACTTTTAAGTATTTCTAACCATAGGACATATCTTTCCATGGTATACATATATACCATCTTCCACCAAAATACAATGTTTTAAAATCTCTTTAAATAATTTTTTTCTATGTAATTAAACCACCAACTAAAGATATAGTTGGGTTCTTTTGTCTTTTTATATTTCAGAATTCTTATAATTTTGATTTAATTTTGCCTTGTAGGGGCACCTGGGTGGCTCAGTTGGTTAAGCATCTGACTTCAGTTCAGGTCATGACCTCGAGGTTCCTGAGTTCAAGCCCTGCATTGGGCTCTGTGCTGACAGCTCAGAGCCTGGAGCCTGCTTTGGATTCTGTGTCTCCTTCTCTCTCTCTGCCCCTCCCCCATTCACACTCTGTCTCTCTCTCTTTCAAACATAAAAAATAAAAACATTTAAAAAGTTAAAAAAATAATTTTGCCTTATAATATGTAAACATTTGTATTGTTCCAATATCAACCAATATAAAACAGGATTTATTCAGATAAGTCTAGCTTCCTGACCGGTCCCCTAACCTTATTTCCTTCTTCACCATGTAAGTAATCATTTTCATCAGTTTTTTTGGTTTATTATTCCAGGGTTCTATTTTTAATGTTAGCAGTTATGTATATGTATGCATGTATGTATATTAGTTCATAATTATAGAAGTATATGTGATTATATGTATTTTTTTTTTACATAAAAGATTGCATGGTAAACACAGTGCTCTAAATTTTACTTTTCTTACTTTTTTCTTACTAACACTATATTTTGGAGACCACTTCATCACTATAGGCAGAGAACTCCCTTAAGATTTTTTTTATAACCTCATCGGACTCATTGTGTGCATGTACCATGTTTTTTTCTTTTCAAATAATTCCGTATCTTTGGACATTTGAGTTATCATAGTTTTGTTTTGTTTTGTTTTTTAACAACTGACAATCAGTTTATTAAAAAACTTGATTTAAGCATCTTTGCTTTGATGGTGACTTCAGCCTCAACTCCTGGCTCAATACTGATGGAAGTAATCTGTTTAACAATATCAGAAAGACCGTGCAGATCAATGAGTCACTTGTGAATCCTTGTCTAAAAATGATTCCAGGTCTTAAAACCTTTATCACAAGGAGTTTTTCTTGTACTGATTCTTGGAGTCTTTAGGCATCCAAACTGGTCCTTTCACTTTGAGATTCTTTTCCTTTGCACCTCTGATCAAGTCAGCACATACCTTCTCTAAAGATTTTACACTGTGTCTTGTTAGAGTAATTCTAATTTGATGAATCGCCACCTCTGGTGCCATGGGTGTCTTTCCAGGGTCTTTAAAAGTCATGGCTGCAGTGCAAGGTCCTGGCTGACTTGTTCCTGGGGGAGAGTGAACAGCGGGGAGTCAGGAGCAGGAGCAGGTCTTCAAAGCTCTGTTGTAGCTGTGGCCCCCGTCCGTCCTCAAAGTGGTGAGTTACTTTAGTTTTTGTCTAATAGTTACTCAACAAAAAACTTTAGGCATATGTTATTTTATATTTTTCTAGTGTATTTTTGTTTCTTAATTTTTTTTTGAGGTTTATTTATTTTGACAGAGAGAGAGAGAGAGAGAGAGAATCCGAAGTAGGCCCCATGCTGTCAGATCTCACCAACTGCAAGATTATGACCTGAGCCAAAATCAAGAGTTGGATGCTTGACTGACTGAGCCACCCAGGCCCCCTGCTAGTGAATTTTTAGTATAGCTTCCTAGAAGTGGGACCACTGGTTCAAAGAGTTAGTACTTTCCTGTACATCCACAGAATCATCACAGAATATCTTGTCAAGTTTTTTGGATCATTGTCAGTATGATAGGTAAGAAATGGCTTTGCAGTATACTTGTTGAGCATCTTTCCCTAGGTTTTTTACAGTTCCTTTTTGTGTTTTATTTAAGATGGATAAAAGTATAGGGGTGCCTGGGTGGCTCAGTTGGTTGGGTGTCTGACTTCGGCTCAGGTCATGATCTCACGTTTTGTGAGTTTGAGCCCCACATAAGGCTCTGTGCTGACAGCCTGAAGCCTGCTTTGGATTCTGTGTCTCCCTGTCTCTCTGCTCCTCCCCTGTTCATGCTCTCTCTCTCTCTCTCTCTCAAAAAAAAAAAAAAAAAGATGGATAGAAGTATTATCTATACTTTTCTATAGGGCTAATGGCATTTTCCTTTAGTTTTTAGATATTAGATATCAACAACTTTTTGTGATATAGATTGCTAATATTTTTTTAATTTGTCTTTTCCCCTCAAAATATCAAGTCTCATTCTTCTACCTAACTTCTTTTAATTTTTTAGTTGGACTTACTTTCTTTTGCCACCTACCAGTAATCATCAAGGCAACACTTCCATTAACTTTTAGTTCCCCTACTTAAACAGAGGCTCTTGAAAATTACTGTTTTATTATAAAATAATGTATACCTAGAGTAAAAAATACAGAGAGACATTCTTCTGCAATTCTGTTATCCAAACATAAATATTAATACTTTAAAGTATGTGTTCCTATTTTCAAAATATAGTTTTACAATGGTAGATACATGTCATTATATATTTGTCAAGACCCATAGAATGTACCATAATGTACCGTAGAATGTACCAAGAGTAAACCATAATGTACATTATGGACTTTGGCTGATAATGATGTATCAGTGTAGGCTCATAGATTATAACAAATATACCACTGTGGTTCAAGATGTTGAGTGGAGGAGGCTTTGTGTATGTGAGGGCAGGGGGTATATGTGAACACTGTACTGTCAGCTCAGTTTTGCTGTGAAAATTGCTCTAAAAAATAGCATATTAAATTTCAAAAATATACGTATGTTGTTTTATGTAATATTCATATACTGTTATGGGCAATCTGCCATTTTCATTTAATAATGCTTTGTGTTGTATAGGATTCTATTTTATTGTTTTTTCCACTTAGTTTTTATCTTTTACATTGCAATTGAACGTCCTTATAACCAAGTCCATGATATTTCCTAGTAAAAGTTCATAGAAATGAAATAATTGCTCAAAAGAAATGCACATTTTAAATGCTTGTGATATTTATCATCATCTCTCATAAGGGCATAATAGATATTTGTTAACTGAATGAATGAAAACTGGTAGCTTTTTGTGAGGAGGGAGGAAGTGAAGAGTCAGGACAGCTGGCTTTCACTTATGAGGGCACCTGGTACTGAAGAGACAGTGGAAGAGTGAAATTGCAAACATTTTTCAAACCACACCCTACCATCCCATCTCCCAAAGACACCTGGCTTTTCTCCAAGGGGGAGAATCTCAAATGTTAGGCAGCTGTGGAAATGCTTGTGTTATACCCTTCCCCCACTGAGCCTCACTGCCTTATGGGACTTGTGATTCTGTGACAGAGAATATAATGAAGAAGCAAGGCAAGTATATTTGACTTTCTGAGGCAGGAGATTCAACTAGAGAATTTCAGATTTTCAAAATGAGGGTCAAATTAGAAGGGGCTTGGTTATCTCTGAGCCTGCATGGGGCAGAAGGAGCTGAGGTTTCGGGCAGAGCTATGTCTGGGCTCACTTCTTGGTTCTGCTACTAACTGTCTTTGTGGACGTGGCCACTGGACTCTTTCTGGGTCTCAGTGATGTCAGCTGTTCCAATCAGCTTGTGAGGACAGAGGGAGTATAGAAGTACCCCTTATCCACGGTTTCACTCTCTGCGGTTTCAGTTACCTTCAGTCAACTGTGGTCTGCAAATATTAAATGGAAAACTCCAGAAATAAACAATTCATATGTTTTAAATTTCATGCCATTCTAAGTAGCATGATGAAATCTCATACCATCCCACCAGGGATGTGAGTCGTACCTTTGTCCCACGTATCCACACCATACACACTACCTGCTCATTAGTCGCTTAGTGGTCATCTTGGTTATCAGACCACCCACCTGGGTATTGCAGTACTTGTGTTCAAATACCCCTTATTTTACTTAATAATAACCCCAAAGCACAAGAGTAGTAATGTTGGCAATTCATGGCCAAGGAGAAGCCATGAAGAGCTTTCTTTGAGTGAAAAGATGGCAGTTCTCAACTTTAGGAAGAAAAAGCAATCGTATGCTTAGGTAGCTAAGATCTACAGTAAGAATGAATTGTGTGTGCTAGTTTTATTGTTGTTGATCTCTTATTATGCCTAGTTTATAAATTAAACTTTACCATAGGTATGTACGTATAGGAAAAAACATACTACGTATAGGGTTTGGTGTTATCAGAGGTTTCAAGCATCCACTGGGGGTCCAGGAACATATCCCCCACAGATAGGTATGTGTGTCCAGGGCTTAGCACATCTGTTGCATAGTGAACGTTCACTAAATATGTGATCCCTCCTCCTTTCTGTAACCAGAGTGCCTGATGATATGGACGAGCTGAGGTGTGATGTTCTTTTTCACGGTATACCCCATTTGCAGTTCCCTACATATAAAAACCCTGGTTAGGAGCAACCTGTCCACAGAATGACAGTATCAGCCATCCTCTTTCATCTCTGCCACCAAACCCTCGATACTACTTTTGTGGGACTCTCTTCCCTGGCCTAATCCAAGCTCTCCCATTCGGGGCACCAAAGATGTGCTGCCCCTTCATGGATATCAGCTGCCATCACTGCTCTCTGCACCTCCTACCTGCCAGTATCGCCAGACTCCCACACCCCCTCTGCCCAGGAGAGTACCAACCCCACACCCTCTAAAAACTGAACCCAAATCCCTTTTCCTTTGTCCCTGGATCAGCTGGGCATTCAGATGGTATTCCCAGTTTGAGCTCCAAGAGTGTTCTCGAGATCATGTGTCTACAAGTAGTGGGGAAGTTGATCCCACTGGCCCCTGCCTTATTTTGTGACACGCAAGTTGACACAATAAGAAGCCGCTTTAACCATGAAATACGTGGTTCCTAGTTCCTGTTCTGCCACAGTCTAGCTGGGGCCCTTAAGCCTAGTCATTTCACCTCCCTATGCCCCAGTTTCTGTAGATGTAAAAAAGAAGAGGTCAGATTAATTAATAATTCCTCTAGTTGGGCATTCATCATTTCCCTATGCTATTCTTTTATATGATGGGGAGAAAATAGTGGCATATGTGTGATCACAGTCTCAACTCTTGGGCTTCTAGTGTTGTAGAAACACAAGTGCATCAAATCCCTTAGCCCTTGGGGTGACCCAGCAAAGCCTCAATTACTTGTCAATGACAGACCCGAGGTTTCTTTCACATAACACGATGTGGTGATGGGAATAACAAGCAACTCAGCTTTCACACATTGCCCAGGATCGTCTCATTTCATCCTCATGACAAGCCTGTGAGGCTGGTTTTGTTCCATGTAATACATAAGGAGAATGAGGCCTAGTGGGATTACATACCCCATAAGGTTACCTACTTAGTAAATGTGGTCTGACTTCAGAGCCCATGCTTTCTGCCTTGGTGTGTGCTACTCAGTGATTTCCAAGCTCTCTTTCATCTTTATGATCCTAAACAGACTTTTTGGGCACTAGCCTGGGAACCCTTTCTGGTGGTGTTTTGATGGGTGAGCATGTTTAGATGGCCTAACAATTGACTTTCACATAAAAGGTTTAAAAAAAAATACAATCCAACTAAAATATAACCTGTGGGTATGGGTGTAAAAAACCAACAAATCAAGCTTTGTTATGTTTAGCTACACTCACAGCTACCATTTCTGCTCTCCCGCCTGCTTACTTTCTCAGCTCTCAACCATATCATCTCCATCACTCAGCCACTCTTGACTCCTATAGCCATGGGGAAACACCCTCCCTGCATCCCCACCCACTCTGCACACACTGTCAGGCATCACAACTGAGCTGTTCTTCTTTAAAATTGCCTCCAAGGGGTGCCTGGGTGGCTCAGTTGGTGAAGCATCAGGCTCTAGATTTTGGCTCAGGTCATGATCTCACAGTGGTGAGATCGAGTCCCAAGTGGGGCTCCGTGCTGGGCGTGGAGCCTGATTAAGATTCTCTTTCTCCTTCTCCCCTCCCCCGCTCTCACTCTTACTTTCTCTCTCTCTCTCTGAAAAAAAAATTACCTCCAAAACCTGTCCTGTCTTCCCAGGCTTCACTGCTGCCCCTCACACCTCCCCCATGGCAGCAGCTTTCCAGGTCCTGTGCTGTCCTTCCAGCTGGCCAGGGAGTGTGATTAGGGCATATCAAATGGACAGCAAGAACCAGGTCAAGAGTAAGGGATAGGTTTCCTGAGACCTGAAGCCCTAGCAACCTCCAAGACTGTGCAGAGAGAGGTCAGTGCAAAAGTGATGCCAAATCCAGGGTGTCAGCAATGCAAGCAACTATCTCACCTTGAACAAAGACAAGGGGAACTTTCCAGAACTGCCTCAGAACAGAGGAAATGATGTTCTGACCATCCTGGAGAGAAGAAATGTGTTGGGAGGATTTGAGTAGCTCTCTGCCTCTGACATTGGTGCAAGCCAACCCCATCTCAGGAAAGATGCCCTTCTGGGCCCTTCTGGGCATGCTCATCCAACATAGATTTGGGGCAAGGAAAAAGGGCTGGGAACAATCAGAAAGGGGGATCTGAGGACTTTGCTATCCTTCAAATCTAGAATCCCAGAAGCCTTACTCCCTTTCAGTTTCTGCCTTGAGCCCTGCAAGATTGCTTATTGCATGTCTTTTAATCCCTGCCCCCTTCCGAGAATGACTTTGAGAGCCTCTCTCTATTCCTTGCTATCAAACATAAGGAGCCCTTCACCTCCCAGCACTCGAACCAGTATTACAGCTCTTTGGGGCTGTGGGGTTTGTGGAGAATGGATTCCCAAACAGCTGCAGGGCAACTACAGCCTCTTAGCAGACTGCCTAGCACATAGAAAATTTGTTGAACTAAATTACTGAAACAAGGCAGGCAGAAGGATTGCATTTAAAACACCCTGGAGCATATGTTCCCATGAGGTACTGGGACTGCAGGCTTCACGGAAACAGCAGCAGCCAACATCTCAACCTGGCAATCAGAAAAGAAGATGTTGAGGGGACCCAGAGGTCACAAAACAGAGATACATAGAAGTCCTATAGACTGAGGACTTGTGAGTCAGAATTAAGCCTTCTCAGGCACGCCCCCAAATCCTAGCGATTCAGAACTGACAAATTCAAGGCTCCCACGTGACCATTCCCCACCCACCGCTTGCCCCAAACGTTAATTGTGCACAAGTCTCTGTCACGGAGCCTGTAAACGGCCTTAGGATCCTTCTCAACACAGTACTTCAGGAAGCCATTAAAATCAAAAGGTCGGCAGTTGGGATAAAACTTATCTGCCACCCTTATGTATCATGTCTCTCTCTTCAAAGGGGAGGAAACTGAGCTAATGACGTTTACTGAATTCTCCATTCCCCTTGATTATTTAGTAAAAGAATTCAAAGTAGCACATAGCACTTTTTACTCCTTTCCCAGTGCTCTTCCTAGTAACTATCTCTGAACCTGGAAATGCCCATTTGCAATAATATTGTCTTGGAAACTTAAGAGATTTCCCAACACTTATGACTCACATGGTGTCTTATGAACGGCTACCTAGCCTTCACCTCAAAATAGTGGAAATGTAAGTCAGTGGTGACCATGGCAGGTTAGATGTGAACTTGGGCATAATTCTTTTTGTCTCCATTTCCCATGTTTTGCCTCTCTCATCATTTCTCTAGGGGAGTCTAGCAGCTGAACTCAAATGACCATATAAATGGCAAATGCCTATAAGAGGTAAATGCTGAAGCAAAACAGTCATGTTTGGGGGGCATTTTAGGATCGATTTCTGTTTTCTGAAGCTTTTTTGCTTTGTAGCAAGAGCATCTTTTGAGCGTATTTTGCTCTCTTTGATTGTTCACCTTCTCATAAGGGAAAAAAATCTTCATAAATCTTTTGTCTGTTTTGAATTCTATAGATTAAATTTTTACCATGCTAATATACTATAATGCTGAAAGAAGATAATTATGCGGTAAAATTAAGACATTCTGCAATTATATCTTGTAATATCATTAATTTCCAGATGCACACAAATTAGATCTACCTCAAGAAGAATGGTAATTTCCTTTGTTTCGCTCACAAAAGCAGGTAATAGCAATCTTTCTCCTGCAATTATTTTAGACAAATTTTCCAATTTGTTATCTTAGACCTCTCAGAGCAGTAATGATACATTATCTCAAGTTTCCAGTTTTACTTTTATCATTGTATCACTAATGATCTTTTAGATTGAAAATGTTGTTTTCTTTTTGAAAAAGCATTGACACTTATTGTCATATCTTTCCAGCCTCTTCATAATCTTAGGAGAGAAATCATTAATGGTAATGAATGAACGGGCTTATTGAAAAAATTATGCCATAGATAACATGTCCCCATCTATGCTAACACGAGATCTATTTCATGCAAGACATATAGAGAAAAAATTAATGGCACAGAACAAAAGAGCTTAAAGAAGCATCCCATGAGTAGCTTATAAAGTTATTCCAATCTTTATTAGAATTTTGTATTCACACCAAATCAACAAATATTATTAAGCACTAATTCTATGCAAAACACTGTACCAGGGAGTAAAAATGTCAATGGGCCCTCTAAGAGTGCATAGACTGGCTGGGGAGACGAGAATGAAAGAAATCAGTATGGAAGAATGAGTAGCAATAGAAAGCAAGAGGTCCAGTAGTAATACAAGACTATGACCAGGTGAATCTTAGAGAAAGGAATTCTGTGGGCTCAGAGGAAAGAAAGCACATGGGGTTTGGGGTTCCTAGAGCAGGAAAGAGATACATGGAACTAAATATAAGAGAAAAGACCCCATGGCCAAAGTAGAATTTGATCAAGTAAGCCTTCTCCATGAACTCATCTTTCATTGTCATCATCTTTCCACACCTCACCAAGACTCGCCTCATCTGGCCTTGCTTTATTTCTCATTTCTGTTTTCTCTTTGCAATATCACTAACTCTCATGGATTCAATAACGTTATGTCTTAAATCTCAGTCTCCAGCAAATCTGTGTCTCTCCACTTGGACTTTGAATCCCACTACGCTTCCTGCTTGCACTGATACCTTTCTTTCCACTCCAGTATGAACAAATCTTGTCTATCGAGCCAGTCCAGTTAAGTGCAACCTCCAGGAAGCTTTCTCTTGACCCTCTCAGTTGGAAATTATATGTCCCTTCAAGTCCTACAGCACTTTTTTTTTTACCTCTACCATGAACTACCCTTATTGTTTGCTAAAAAACTGAACTATGGTTATTTGCCATCATGATTTCCTCTTTAAGCGTATGTGTATCTATGTTTCCACCACCAAAAGAAGTAGACCCAGAAGCCTAATTTGTACTATATGATCTTACCCTCCTGGCCATAACTGATTCTGCCATAGGTGGATACCTGTCTCTGGTTGGGCAAAGTCAATTTTCTTTCCCAGCAGTTGCAACCTAGAGAAGCAAATGAGTTTCTACTGGTTCTTGAATTTAAAATACATTTGGAATCAAACAACACTTTCAATAGCATGTAAAGACAATGCACAGAATGGAAGAAGACAGTTGCATAAGGGTCTATTGTGCATAATATATAAAGAACTCTTACCACTCAACAACAGAAAGACAAACAATTCAATTGAAAACTGGGCAAAGGATTTGAATAGACTCTTTTCAAAGATATACCAATGGCCAACCAGTATGTGAAAAGATGCTTAACATAATTAGTCATGAGGAAAATGTAAATCAAAATCATAATGACATAGTACTCACACACACTAGGTTGGCCATAATAAAAAAAAAAAGGAAAAAAACAAGTGCTTGCAAGGATGTGGAGAAATTGGAGCCCCCACACATTGCTGGTGACAACGTAAAATGGTGCAGCTGCTGTGGAAAAAATGTTGGCAGTTTCTCAAAAAGCCAAACATAGAATTATAATATGAACCAGCAACCCCAGTCCTATGTACATCTTCAAAAGAATTGACAATGGGTGTCACACAAAAACTTGTACATGACTGTTCATAACAACATAATTAATAATAACCAAAAAGTGGAAAAAACCCAAGTGTCTATCAGTGGATGGATAAACAAAATGTGGTATATCCATACAATGAAATGTAATTCAGCCATAAAAAAGAATCAAATATTGACACATGCTACGACATGGATGAATGCTGACAACATAATGCTAAGTGAAAGAAGTCAGACACAAGAGACATTGCATGATTCCACTTATATAAAATATGCAGAAGAGATAAATCCAGAGAGACAGAAAGGAGATTGTGGTTGCAGGAGACTTGGAGATGAGGGGAATAGGGAGTGACTACTTAAGAGGTATGGGGTTTCTATTTGGGAGAATAACAGAGTTTTAGATCTTAACAATGATGATGGTTGCATAACATTGTGAATGTAATTAATGCCTCCAAAGTGTATGCTTTAACATGATTTAAATGATAAATTTCATGGTGTGTGTATTCCTAAAGTTATTCCAATCTTTACTCAAATGTATTCATACCAAATCAACAAATGCTATTCCATGCATATTCCATGTGTATTTTACCATAACAATAACAAAAGACATTTAGAACGGTTGGTTGACTTTGTCCATTATATTCATGGAGAATCAGAAAAATCCAACCCACAAAGAGTGAATGATGAAGCAACTGAGCAGAGAGAAATGTGAAGCCTGAGAACAGGAAAGAGAAGTTGCTCCTGTCCTTCCAGAGCTGGCCTCAGCCTTCAAGAGGCTCACATGGATTTGCAGCCTTGGACTTCTACAAGCATCTGAAATTCCCTCTTCACAATTCAGTAATTTG